TAATGAACCCGATGGCTATGATTTTCAGCATCTCTACGTTGCTGATGAAATAAAAAAAATATGAGTTTAATAGGAAAACTAGAGGTAGATATAAGAAGATGTGGTATGAGTGCCAATGAGACAAGTCTCCATCCAAGTCAAAATTTAACAAAGTAAACCATTATAGGTCAAAGTACGGTCTTCAACACGGAGCCTTGGCGCACACCGAACAGTAAGCTATAAAGGGCGCCAAAAATTACTAGTGTAAAACCATTCAAACTGGAAAACCAACGGTCTAATCTATATAAAAAACGAGAAACGAGAAACACTTATGAACCACATCAACAAACGACAACTACTGAACATCAGATTCCTGACTTAGTAGTTTGTATAAACCCTCCAAAAAACCTAAAAAGGAAGGCTCAATCTACTAGTGCTACTAGTAAAGCTGCTAAATCTCCTATAGTTGAGGATTTTCTCCAGAGGAGTTATCAGTGTTGAGGGATAAGATGGGCATATCTACAATGGGCAAGTCTGTTGACACTTTGACTCATCTTTTTAGAGGAATTATAAATAAATGTGGGAAAGAGTCTGTAGGGACCCCTAGGTGTGAGACAGTTTCTCGATCTTCTATTCAAGCAGAAGTTTTAGAGAACCCTGCTGCTGTATCCTCTAACACTCCAATTTTGCCTTTAGAGGCTAACATAAATGCAGATGCGGTTCAAGATTTTGATCTGGACTACTTCGATGATACTGTATATGTACCTCCTTCTGAAGTTTGTGCTAGGGCTGATGATAGTCCAGCCCCAGTTGATTTTTAAACTTCTTTTGACCCTGCATTAGGGTTTTCAGATGCCTTTAGGGCTCCTCTTAGTGAGATTAATGTACCAGTATCTCAACCTGTTGTTCAACAGGTTGAACTTTATGATTATGATTTTGCTTTGGAAATCCCAAAGCAGCTATAGTAGAGACCAATATATGTCTTTAAACTCCAGAGGCCCTGTCGGCCAACAGGGCGGACGGCAATTCCCCTCCCTAAGAAGCAGAGGGAGAGGTTTCCCGACAGGAAACAGAGGATCTTAAAGAGGTCACAACTCTCAGAGATGGTTCTACCAGAACAACCATTTTCGACAATATTTAAGGTTGGAGAACTTAATTATCCCGAATGGGAAAATATTACAAGTGATCTCTGGATATTAGATACAGTAAGAAATGGTTATAAAATTGAATTTGATGTTGTGCCACAAGGTTCATCTTTTATGAATAAAATACATTTTCCTTTAAATAAGGATGTAATAATTTCAGAAAAAGTCCGAAAATTATTAGCTAAAGGGGCTATTAAAGAAGTTGAGTCATTGGAGAACCAGTTTATTTCCAATATTTTCATAGTTTCTAAGAAAGATGGGTCTTCAAGGCCTGTTATCAATTTATGAAATTGAAACAATTTTGTGACTTATCATCATTTTAAGCAGGAACATTTATCATTTGTTTTAGATGTCATTCACAGGGATGATTATCTAACATCCATAGATCTCAGAGATGCCTATTTTAGTATTAGTATCAATAATGATTGTAAGAAATACTTGCGTTCATGTGGAAGGGGCATTTATATGAATTTCAGGTTCTTTGTTTTGGATTTGCTTCTGCACCAAGAGTTTTTACTAAGGTTTTAAAACCTGTCTATGCATTTTTTCGAAAAAATTGCATTAGATGTATTTATTACATCAATGATTCTCTTATTATGGAACAGAATTTAGAAAGTTGTATTGTAAATACAGAAAAAATAGTGCAGAAGCTTGATGCACTTGGATTTAGAATAAATTATAAGAAGTCTGTCCTTATTCCTTCAAAACGAATTGTTTTCTTTGGTCTCATTATTGATACTGAGTTATTTAAGATTTTTCTGACAGATGAGAAAATAGACAAAATTATATCATTTGGGAAGATTATTCTTCAACAGAAGTGTGATACTGTAAGATGCTTTGCATCATTTATTGGTCTTGTTGTACATGCTTTTAATGCAGTATCTGTTGGACCATTACATTACAGAAACATGGAGAGAAATAAACTTGAAGCACTGAATAGTTCTTATGGTGATTTTGACTCTGAAATTATTATCACACAAGAGTCAAAAATTGAAATCTTTTGGTTGGTCAACAATTTAAAATCTGAAAAAGAAAAGCTGATAAGACCCATACAAATAAATTTTTGAATTGAAACTGATGCCTCATTAGAAGGTTGGGGATCCAAATTTTGAAGGACAATTTGCTGGTGGTAGATGGAGCTTGTCAGAACGCTCATTTCATATAAATTATTTAGAATTGTTGGCTATATTTTTCTCTTTAAGGGCCTTTTCTAGTCACAAAAACTCATGCCATATTGGTATACAATCAGACAATGCAACTGCAGTAGCTTATATTAATGAAATGTGAAGCATGACCTCATTGTCACTTGACAGGCTTGCTGCAGAAATTTGGGCTTGGTGTTCAAAAAGGGATATTTTTATCACAGCTCAGTATATTCCTGGAACAGAAAATTTTGATGTTGATCATATGTCTAGAATTTTACAGACTCCACAGAGTGGCAATTGAAAGTAGAAATCTTTGATAGAATTTGTAAACATTTCTATTTTTCAAACATTGATTTGTTTGCTTCACGTTTGAATTTTCAAATCCCTAGATTAGCTTCGTGGTCTTTTGACCCACAAGCTACTTTTGTAGATGCTTTTACTTTTTCATGGTCTAATTTTAGACCATATATTTTCCCACCTTTTACTTTGTTCGGGAAAATTTTAATGAAAATTATTAGTGACAAAGTTGAGAAGGCTATTTTGATCATTCCTTTTTGGCTTGCACAAAGTTGGTTTTCTTTGCTAATACCAATGTTAATTTCTTTGCCAGTTAGACTGCCTCAACACAAAGATTTGGTAATGATGCCACATACAGGAGACTGCCATCAATTAAGGAAGAGACTTAATTTAACCGTGTGTATTGTATCCGGAAATCGCTCATTGATAGAGGATTTTCAGAATCAGCTGCAGATGTCATCATTGCATCTTCTACAATCAAGCAATACCAATTTTCTTGGAGAAAATTCGTTATTTGGTGTGTTCAAAGGAAAACCAATTTCTTTCGACCATCTGAAAAGGATGTTATAGATTATTTAAATTTTTTTGAAAAACAGTAACTTTTCATATTCAGTGTTAAACACTACTCGGTCTATGTTGACACAGACTTTATCCTTTTTTGGAGTAGATGTTACTAAATTTGTTTTTTGTTGACTGTATGTTGAAAAGTTGCTTTAACCTGAATCCGCCAAGAGCAAGATACTCTTTCACTTGGGATGTGAATTTAGTGCTAACTTTTTTAAGTTCTTTATATCCTTTGGAGGATTTAACGTTGAAGACTTTGACTTTTAAACTTGTGTATTTAGCTGCCTTGACTACAGCTGCTAGGGCACAATCTTTATCAGCTCTAGATTTATATTGTATGTCTTTTAGTCAAAGACAAGGCACTAGAGTTTTTCATATACAGGAACTTTTGAAAACTACTAGACCTGGTTTTAGTCTGCCTAATGTGATGTTCAAGCTTTTTGATAAACCAGAACTTTGTGTTGTTAAGAAAATGATTAATAATGTTTTGCGTACAAAAGATGTCAGGAAGACATCTTGTTTGTTTATTTCTTATGCAACTTTTCGTAAATGTTCAACTTCTACATTATCTAGATGGATAAAGACAGTTTTACTTTTAGCAGGCATTGTTATCGACATTTTTAAGGCTCACTCATTTAGAGGTGCCTCTACTTCAGCTGCATTAGCTTCAGGATATTCTATTAAAGACATTATGGCAACAGCTAACTGGACATGTGCGGAATCATTTATAAGTTCTATAACAGGGAATTGAATTATACCGGCACTTAGGACTTTTCTTCTGCCGTAATAACTGGATGATCTTGTGATTGTTTATGCTTTATTAAATGTGGCATTTGTATGAATTTTGTTTTTAGTTTGTGTCTACACTACTTGAGCTCGAAAGGCGAAATATGAATAAGAATGTTCCTTCATCCAAGCATATCTTGGATGTGCAGGATGAAGGTCCTTCTTAGAATATGAGCCTGAGTCTCGAAAGTAATTAATTCCCACCCTAGGGATTTAAAGTCAGACCCACCCTTTTCCTATGGGTTTCGTGGTCGACACAAACTTACTTTGAATTACGACCAGTTATTATTGAACATGTGTTTATATAATAGGGTCAAGGTTACTGGCAATCTATGGTCTGGTGGTTATAGTTTGTTTCTTTAAACAGAGTTATTACATGTTAACTTCACCCCTAACAGAGAAGTTAAGCTTATTCATTACTTTCGAGTCTCAGACTCATATTCTAAGAATGATCTTCATCCTGCGCATCCAAGATATGCTTGGATGAAAGTACATATTTATGTCTTGGTACAGGATATTTTAAAGGAAAATGGTGGGTTGAACCTGGTTTTGTGGCAAGCCAAACCTCCCGATTTTAAAGTAATGTTAAATAGAACACTAAAATGACAACATTACATGACAGGACTACAATACAAATAAAATGGATGAACATACAGGACAGAGAAATACAAAAATAAACAATACAATAGAACATTACGACATGATTATAATTAACAATTGCCATATTTCTGACTTGGTACAGGACATTTTAAGAAAAATGGTGGGTTGAACCTGGTTTTGTGACGTCTCTATACCTTTCCTACACTTCAGAATGGTTTCAATGTTGACAAAAACAAAATGTGATTTATTTATTTATATTGTAAGAAATTAAAATAATCCCAAAACAAAAACGGAATTCAAAATGGTGGCTTTCTTAGTTACGGACTGGTAAAACGTGGAATCTTACACTTCAAAATATATGTCAACGTCCAATGAAAATTATAGTTACAAACGAATTGCATTATTATTCGTTTTCGTTCTCTTGCAAATATGTAGCAATTGTTGCATTAAGGAATTCATAGTAAATACACAACATTTATCAATATTTATGAATGTGAATATTTATTTAATTACAAATATATATATGTAATACAAAATAAAAATTATAGAAAGATTATTCAAAATTTCAATTAATTTTTGATAAGTAGGGAAATATAACATCACAAATAAAGGTAACAGTAGTATACCGCTGTTCGAAACTCATAAATCGATAGAGATAAAAACAAATCCGGGTTACAAACTAAAACTGAGGGAAACGCATCAAATATAAGAGGAGAACAACGACACAACAAAAACACAACATTAAAATGTAACACACACAGAAACGAACTATAATATAACAATGGCCATTTTCCTGACTTGGTACAGGACAAACTTCCCTTCACCCGTTTTAATAATTAGGGATACAAATCAATTTATTCCTGTTAATATCAGAAACTAGACACATTGTGTATTATCATCTTTACTGTTTTTTAAGCATATGTTTGTTAATAAGTAATAACAACATCAGATGACAGATTTACAGCTCTAGTTCACCATTTTATGATTGAGAGAAGATGTTTAACATATAAGAACGATAATTCTATATAATTATATATTGATTTTACATTGTACAATAACATAACAAAATATACATCAAATATAAAATGCCATGCCTTGAATTGCCTTTACACACTAATTAAGAAAGTTCGCTACTCAGTTTCAAAATAACAAGCTTTTCATAACATTATAATATATTGATAGGGGATTAATATAGGAACCAAAAGAGCGAAAAAAATATATAGGTCCGTGTGCTTGTTTTCGAGATATTAGCCTTTGAAATATTGGCGGGAAAATGTTCTCTTTTGATTTTTCATTGCTTTATCATTGGCAAGTTAAGTTCTCAAAAACTATTAAAAAATAATAAAGATTTTAAAAGACTATTACAGATGACTTATAATTATACATATAAAAGATTTATTAAAAATATGGAGGTCAATGGGCAAATTTTTTTAAGGCATTCAAATGGATAAAACAAGAGTATTCAGAAAATCTGACAAAAATCCCAAAACAATAATAGCGAACATCCTTAATATATTCAGCTAAATTAAAACAAATCATGATTTACTGATCACAAGCGTCGAATCATCATTCGGCTTTCTCTCATTAACCACGCATGTCTATTGTAAAACAGCATATAGGACCATCTCATACCGTTTCGGTATTGACCATTCAAATATGAAGTCTCACATTTGGGAAGAAACCACCATCCTCCTCGTTTTTGTTCGAAGTATTCGCTATCAGCACAATTTAGCGAACTGTTATCAATGTTGTCAATGTCTGGAGTTGTAAACTTTGTTTGTCTTTCAAAAAAATCTTGTAGACCATTCATTGTAATTATTGACGGCACTAAAAAATAAAAAAAAAGAATACGAAGAATGAGTAGATAATTGAAATCTGTTATAGAGTTGTCACTAGTTCAGACCTACTATAAATATTATTATTTCTGTGACTGTATCTTGCATTAATTTGTAGGATCCTTTACAATAGATATTTCAGCTGATCTGTAACAATTCCATCTTCATGCCTTACATATCATGTATTGTATTACGACGCTAGATTAAAACTGACGAGGAAAGGTAACACCTGGCCACCGAAAGCTGTATTATTGTGAAGCCCAGGTGTTCGAGTGGTCTAGCGCATCGGATACAGTGCAGGCGATTTGGTGTCACGATATCTCAGTAGCATGAATTCGAATCCCTGCGAGGGAAGAACAACGAATTTGCGAAAGCAAATTAACAGATCTAACATTGTTAGGCTATGTTTAGACGAATATATATATATATATATATATATAATTCGTCTAAACCTATTATATATATATATATATATATAATTTGTCTAAACCTATTATATATATATATAATTCGTCAAAACATCAGCCCAACAATGTTAGATCTGTAAATTTGCGATCGCTAATTTTTATTGTTTTTCACTCGTCGGGATTCGAACCCATCCTACTGAGATATTGTGGCACCAAATCGCCTTGCACTATATCCGACACACAAAACCACTCTACCACTTAGGTCTTACTATAATATATATATATATAGGACTCGGAACCGCGATGGTACTCCGAACTGCGATGGTCACGCTAAAGTGCGATGGTTCACGCTGAAGTGCGATGGTGACATTTTGACGCCAACTTGTTGTTAGATACGATGAAGTGCGTTGGTGGGTACGCCGAAGTGCGATGGTCTAACTGAGACGTCTAATGTACTAACTTAGCAGGACACATTTAATTTTGTCAAATGTACTAGTAACTTGTTCTTGTCATGCCATAGCACAGAAAATTGCTCACAACACTCATTTATCTATTTATCTAATATCATATTAAGGTTTTTAAGAAATAAAAACAACAAGAACATTTATGCTTGACTCATATATAGGGAAACGTGACGCTTTTTCTTTAAAAAAAGGTTGAGAATTATCTGCTTTCTACTTAGTATCAGAAATTGAAAAGTAAACCAAGTTTTGACCATTCAGGTTTATTTTGGCCTAACCAATAGACTATTCTCATATGACCGACTTTTGACTCCGGTTTATATTATTTTTCGACAGGTTACCTACGACACCCTGGTACTCGGTCAATTAAAAGAAGTAATAATAAGTAAAGGAGTTTGTCATGTAAAGAAAATATAAAGCAGTATATTTTCTCCAAGAATTACAGCTTGATTTTACTTATTATGACTACTCTTAATTGACCGAGTACCAGGATGTCTTAGGTAACCTGTCGAAAATGATATCAACCGGAGTCAAAAGTCGGTAATATGAACAAAGTCTATTGCAGAAGATAAATACTGTATATACGCACAATAGAATTATTGAGATTGCGTGTTTCCTTACAAAGCAGGTTTCATCTCAAGAATAAAACAAAATTATAGCTACTTGATATCACGAAAACATTGTTAATAATTAATTTTATTTTATTATTAAGTTGTCCACTCAAAATTATGTGATGTTTACTTGAAGAGAAGTAAAAAATAATATTAAGAGCAAAACATTGTATTTGTCTTACAAAACGTTTTCTGTATGAATTATACATGTACATGCTTCCTCAAACACTGGTTAGCCCATCTGCAGACCAAGATCATCTTTTAATCGCCTTTTCCAATATGGTTTGTTGTCTGACTTAGTTTGACATATGTTTGTAACCCCAACCTCTAATGCTCAAAACTGTTCGGGATTTGAATCGTTCGTTTCATTCTGTTTCCTTTCCTTTGTACGTATGAAACCTTAATTTACAAACTCTTATTATCCTGCCTTTGTAGATATGAGATGTGGTATGAGTGCCAATGAGACAACTCACCATCAAAGTCTAAATTTGTAAAAGTAAACCATTATAGGTCAAAGTATGGTCTTCAACACGGAGCCATTTAATTTAATAACTTTGTATTTGAAAACGTTACATTGTCCAAACATAATGCAAAACCATCGCACTGCAGTGAAAGGACCATCGCACTTCGGCGTAGGCCATCGCACTTCAGAGTGACCATTGCACTTCAGCGTTCCCATCGCACCTCCGCGTCCTACATATATATATATATATATAAGTCTAAATTGAAAACAACGTTCAAACCTATGATTGCGTTTGATAAAAATCGCAATTTTTATACGTGTGCATGCTTATATATTTATATATATATATATATATAAACAAGTCTAAATTGAAAACAACGTTCAAACCTATGATTGCGTTGGATAAAAACCGCAATTTTTATACGTGTGCATGCAAACCAAATTTCTTGTTAGAGGGGTCTAAATACAGCACAAACAACATTTTCCAAAAGACCAAAAGAGTGAAAAAGTATATTTTAACAAAACGCATTTGACTAACAGGTCGAACAACAAATGTTCTTAAACCCTGCTGACTGCCATTGGCGATTGCCAAATAAACGGATCACCGATGTAATAAATGGATCTTAAATATAAATTTAATACTAAACAGAAAACAATAAACTTGCGGAAAAGATGTTATACCGCAAACAAAAGGTGCAAAGGTTTTTGTACACCATATCCGGATTTCGACAATTGATGTCTCTTCAGTGATGTTAGGAATCGAAACGGTATATATATATATATATCCTTACATGTCTGAAGTAAGTTATTTTTTGAAATATATTTTTGTCATGCATTTCAATTCTCTGAAAATCAATTGTTGTTGAAATTCAAGCTTTGATTTCATTGAATTTCTTATAGCTACATTTGTAACCACAATGGAACGATGTAGTGTTATCTTAGTTATAAATTATGAAATATATATATAAATACCTTTATTTCCAGTGAAGTTGCCAATAGTTAAAGCATACTTTGAATCTTCATTTCCAACTGAAAACTGTTTATATTTTGCAAAAACTGTAAATTTCTTCAATTCATCATGAAGTAAATCGATCCGCAGTTCATATTGATCAGTAGAGGTCAAATGATGTAAACGTTCGTTACCTGAAATTGTTAAAAAGGTTGTATATATCGATCGTCATTAAGGAAGGAATGGAGAATAAAAAACACGAACAACCAGAAAGAGGAAGAAAAATGAAAAGAAAAAAGTAAAACCTTGTTTTTATGAATTCATCTTGTCACAACAAAGAGACATTCAACACAGAGCAAACTATGCATAGTCGAATCAGCATACCAAATACATGGCATTTAGTTGTTTTTTGATATTTGTTTTATTAATGGACGAATCTGTAGTAAAAATTGTAAAATCAGATACCAATTAAGGCGAAGTGTACGTAATATAACTAGTCAACAGATTTTTGTTAATTTTACGTGTGGATTCTGCTTGTAAAACTACATCAGAATATAAAATAAAAAAAGGGGTAACCGTTTTCGTTTTTCAGATACAAGCTGTCGAAACTAACAGCATGATACGCCAGAAATACAAAGGATATATAGGGAAAATCATAAAAAAACGGCAGATATTTTTACTTTATCATGATTTTCTAATTCGTTGGTCAACAGATTTTTTTTTAATTCGAAATGCGATTCAAAAATAAACGAAGAATCCATTGGTGCAAAAAAAGTCCTTAGCAAACGTGCTAGTTGTCAAGCTATATTTTCTTGAAGTTTGATTTGTAACGGAAAATTATAAAATATTCGAAGACGTTATTGATGTCTACTGTAACGTCACCACAAATTCTACTCTATAACGCTATTATACCCATTGTATCTTACAGTATTGTCATACAAACCGTGAGTGTGGGGAACACATTTTCCTAAGTATTGGGATTACTAAAAAAATAAAAGCGTAATCGGTTGACATGGTTGATAATGATACAAACTGAAAAATGTTTAAGGATATTTCTGCTGCCAAAAAATGCAAATTGGCAAATAAATATACTGCAAGTGAAAGAAAGTTACTATATAGACTTTAACTCCATATTTTCTTGATTAGACGGGGTTCCACATATTTTTTGAACTATTTGTATTGTTCTAATAATTTTAAATCAAATATCGAGTTGTCCAGATTAGTACAGAATGATTCTATACATATTATGAAATATTCGGTTATAATAGTTTGATCACTTCATTGCATATTCACCATTTCCGGCGCCATGCGAGGTATTGCGTACACAACCCATTCTATATGTCAAGTTCACACACGTGCATGTGATTCTACAATTTTATTTGAAAATTTCCTGTCTCGATAGCTTTCCCTTTTCTCTAACTACACGACAAGGCATTATACATGGTGTAATGTTTGCGGGAGAATCATTAACAAAGGAAATAACTTCTTGTACTATTATTTCTTAAATTTCCACATGTACGACTAATAAAAAAATAAGAATTCTGCAAATGCACATTATCTTGAGAATGGCTGTAATAAGGTCAAAAGAAGAACCCGTATATGAATTTCAGCAAAATAAAACAGATTGCAGGTTTTTTATATAACTCCCCGTTGCATAGATCACTGCCTGTGTTATGCCTTAGCGTTGTGTTTATTGTTATGCTATAGCCGTATTGTTAAGTGTAATTCTAAAGCTTTGTGTATTTTAGTTATATGATATAAATGTACTGGTGTCATGATATAAATGTACTGGTGTCATGATATAAATGTACTGGTGTCATGATATAAATGTACTGGTGTCATGATATACGAATGTACGTATGTTTTGCCATACAAATGGAGTATGTAATGCTATACAAATGGAGTATGTAATGCTATACGAATGTATTGATGTCAAATAATGTTTCTAAATCATGACGAAGGACACGCAATAACAGTAACTGTAAATTCAGAAATCATTGGGAGGTTTTTATTTATACGAATAATGCGACTGAGTGAGTATCGCAATAATAAGAACTCGCATTTTGTTCATTTTTCAAACGTCGCAATAAAAATGCACGCTTAACTACTGAATTTACAGCCAATATCGGTACTTGTGAATTAAACCGTCCACACACTGATACATGAACAAACGAATTATTCAAAGAAAATCGCAAGGAAAGGTATTGATATTTTTACAAACCTAGCCAATGCTCTTGTGCAACATCTCCAAATCCATTTTTGTAATCGTCCCAAAGTTTATCTTCAAAATTGACTTCTCCGTTAAAGCGTCTTTGAACAACCTTGAAGAAGAAAGTCAAAAAAGTAAGTAACAATAATTTAATTTTGGATGTAACGCGTCTTCTGATTGGCTGACTTTGTTTTGTTTATAAGTCTATAGACATGATTTAGTCATGTGACCGTGACGTCATCAACGTTTTTTCATGGTTTATTCCGGTTTAAAATAGAATTTAGAATTAAATTATAAAATATAACTGTAATAATTTTCGTCTATGAAGAAATAACATTGAAAAATGTTGCGTACATTGAATAAACTGTGTAGCAGTATGGTTGTCTGTTAGACATTTTTCAACAATATACCAAATTCTACTGCACATCGGGTACATTTTTAATACGTTTCGGACACACAAATTATCTACATTGTATTTGTTATAATAATCTCTGAACTGGCTTTCAGTAACTGACTGCGTGTATTCTTATTTAAGGATGTTCGCTTCTCTCTTTCAAAATAACAAGCTTTTTAAAATACTGTTAAAAAATTGATAGTATATAAATGAAGAAACTGAAAAAAGGAGAAGAAAATGCAGGGTCCGTGTGCTTGTTTTTGAGATATAATGCATTGAAAATTTGGCGGGAAATAATTCTCTTTAGATTTTTCACACTTTTAACATTGCCGCCTTTTTTCTTTCAAAGAAGATGAAAAAATAACAATGATCTTATAAGACTTTCAAAGAAAACATTTTTAACTATATGTAATCACATTCAGGAAAGAAAAGTAGGGATTAATGGACATTTTTTTTAAATGCACAAAGTTCATGGATTCCAAAAAGATTCCAAATATCTGGCAAAAATTCTAAAACAACAGAAGCAAACACCCTTAAGTTGCCTTGACTCTATAATGCATATGTACATTGAAATAAACTGCTTGATTAAAAAATCACGATTTAAAAAGAGATAAGCAACCACCGACCCGAAACTTAGTAAGATAAAAATAATATTAGTGGGATAGTTCAATGTTTCGCAAATTCATCTCATGTTGAATGATAAATGTCGGTAAAGATGTTAAGTTGTTGTACAGTTATAATCGTTCCAATCTGAAATTAAAATGGTGGCGATATAAAATCTAATAAAAGTACAGTTTCTGCGTCTTAACAATTCATTTAATAAATTTGATAAAAGTAAAGATCATGTGTCCATGCTTTGCTTACAAATACCTGACAACCTTCCGTAATACTTTCTGATCAGGTGATTATTATGTCGTTCAATGAAATTTCAATCTTCAAAGATTTTAAGGTGTCTTTTATTACGACAAAACCAGAGAATCCCGAACGGTACGCAAAAAAGAAAGTAAAATGAAGGGTTGTCAGATCCCTGTAAGTGATTCATGGACACGTAATCTGCATCCTCTCAAAATTGGGTCTATCAAAATTCAGGAAGTTTAATACAAACTAACCAGCCATCCTCCACCGTCCGTTTCCATGTCACAGTAAACATTGTAGCCTGTCCCTCCCTGTGGATATATCCTGTATACACCACTAGTTCCTCTTGCTACGTCCATGCAATCTTTAATTATGTGTGCTATAAATAGTAATGCTATAAATGAAGGCAACATTAGTATACCCTGTTTAATAGTCATGAATCGATTTTGCAAAAACCAATCCATGTTACAAACTAAAACACAAAAAAACACATAAGAGGAAAACAACGGAACAACAGAAAAACTCATCTGCTTTTATATTGTCCTTTTGATTTTAAATCTTAACATAAGTTACACATTTCAGTCTGGAAGTCATTTCGATCTGACCAGCCCTTACAAGACTTAACATCAAGTACTTTTAAGTGTTAAAGTTCCTTTTTATACTGATCCACTAAGGTGAATTCAATACTGTTCAGACAATATCTTGCAGTCAATGTATATGGGTTCTTTCAGTATTCAGTAGTTGCTATATACTTGTACAAATCAGCACCGTACTGACTTGTATAAAAAACAACTGAACGGTACTGTATTTACCGAAGTCAATACATCTTAATTTACCGGGTTTGTAATAACATGAGCAACACGACGGGTGCCACATGTGGAGCAGGATCTGCTTACCCTTCCGGAGCACCTGAGATCACCCCATGTTTTTGAAGGGGTTCGTGTTGCGCAGTCTTTAGTCTTCTTTGTTGTTTCTTGTTTACTATTATTTGTCTGTTTGTCTTTTTCATTTTTAGCCATGGCGTTGTCAGTTTATTTTTGATTTACAAGTTTGACTCTGGTATTATTTGCCCCTCTTTTAAGATTTACTGAAAGATTGAAAATGACGTAATATTCCTCTGTTAAGAATTTTCAGACAATGTAAATGTCCAAATGAGCGCTTCTGACTGAAATTCTTTTACAAGTATAATCAACGTTTTCTTTTTGTAATCTAATTATAATTTGGTCATCAGTTAAGAATTCAGTAACATAAAATAGTGTGTATAATCATATGAATGTTGAATTCGGTGTGATGCAAAGTTAAAATTATGTATATACAAAATTATACATGTATTCTTAAGTATAATGTATGATCCACAAGCTACATAAAATATGCACTTTTAGTCAAAGCTTGTATGCTTATTCAAAAATAAGTAATTAATGGTTGTGATTTAAAAGCTACGTAGAATCTGCATACCCGTTCAATTCAAGGTTTTGTGTGTATATTTCATAAAAGATTAGGAGCGGGGATGATTTAAATCTTTACAACATATATATTTTTAATTGAATGTCATGTATGTTTATTTTATAATAGATTGGGAGATAGGATGACTCAAAAGAATCTATACCTTTAATTCAAACTAATATATGTACATCTAATAATAGATTATGGGAAGATATGATTCACAAGTTCTATAACGTGTGCACCTTAATTCAAAGTAATCAATGTAAAGGTGATAATAGATGATTAGAAGATATGATTGAAAAGCGCGATAAAATATACACAAGTGACGTTTGGCGCAAAGAAATATATGTTAAATTGATAATAAATATAAATTCGGTTCTCGAAAAGTTACAAACAATCTGCACCTCTTATGTGCTTTGCCTGTATGCCTTTTTGCTTTTTCTTTCTTGACATATTTGTTTGTTTTTATAGTGATTGAGATTAAAACACAATGGTTACTGCTGTACATTATTTTTTTAAATGTTAACCTATTATGTCTGTTTGATTTGTTCACACATTGCTGTCAATATAATGAAATTGCATGCTACTATAATACAAGCGAGAGGTTTAGCTAGCTATATAGCCAGGTTTAATCCACAATTTTCTACTTAAGAAAAATGCCTGTTCCAAGTCAGTAATATGACAGTTGTGATCCATTTGTTTGATATGTTTTTGCTTTTCATTTTTCCGTTTGATAAGGAACTTTCCATTTTTCGATATTTTTGTTTTTTTTAACTTTTTTCGAAGTGTTGTATATATTTAATTGATAAGTCATAAGAATATGGATGATTAGAAAGTTCATATGTTATGCACCGTTTACATTGGTAATGTTATAATTTTTAAATTCATTTGCTAATGTTATGGAACTACCATGCTTTGATAAAGTAAACGGTATTTGTTATTTTGTAAGAATTTTAGATCTGTATCAATTTGTGTTACAATATATCACTTCATCACTTTTGATATCAAAATTATTGAAACATATTTTTGAGGGTCTTGCATTTTATTATTAAGATTCGTATCTAGTGTAGTAAAGGTGGTATCGTTAATGCTAGTGTGCAATAGATGATTGCAGTCGGTTTCTAAATAGCATTGTTTGAATACAGCTGAAAAAAGAATGTATACAATTTACAAGATAAAATCGTGAACAAAATTGTTTAATACAATTTAATGTCAGTGATTATGGTAATACACATTTATGTGACTGGTTTACGTTTGACACTTCGTGTCAGTCTATTTCTTTTCTTGTACATATATCCTATCAGAATTTCACTTTGAAAACAATGAAAAACGAATGAAATATTCTATGTTTTGAGCACCTTGAATTCCATACTGAACATGCGTCACTTACTTTTTCGTGAAGTTTGAATTTTGTTTTCCAGATCCTCAAATTTCATATTGTAGTCTTTGTCATTTGATATCAACGTACCAACATTCTTCCAAAATGTTTCATTTAATTTTTGTTCTAGTTTATCTATTTCAGTATCGATGTAAGATTTAATGTTTGACATGTCTAGATTGGCTACAAGCGGAGCTTTTGTATCATCAAGTAGCGACATGGAAACCATTGGATTACAAAATGCCGTATACAGAAATAACACAAAAACACAAAATATTGGACTTATTCTCCCAAAAGTCATGGTTGACTAGGAATCTCAAGTATGTTTGTCGAAAACTAAACAAAAGCAAACGACAATTGCAAATATACGTTAATATTGTATTTAATAAAGATCACGTGATAATTCTCCATGTAATTTGGTTTTGAAATCTCATTAAATTACCATTCAACCACTTAAATAGATAATGATATATAATGTTCATTTTTATATATAATTGGTAAAATTATAAAAAAAGATATATAATCAGTGATAATATATAATTCAAAATAATTTGATTTCCACTTAATTCAAATTCGTGACTTAACTTGATGAATCACCATTATATTGCTCAGTGTTTACCTTTCTTTTATGCGTTTTGTATCACTTTTTTAATTCAATTTGTTGTTGGATCCTGCACGATTGTTTTTTTCAACATTAAGAGGTTCCTGGTTTCTGACGCAAACCTACTGTACATTTACTACGAAATTTAAAGGTTTGAATAAAAAAAAGATGTTGACATGAATATCAATTATATGGTCATTTTTTATAAATTTCCTGTTACAAAACTGAATTTTTCGAAAAACTAAGGATTTTCTTATCCCAGGAATAGATTACCTTAGCTGTATTTGGCACAACTTTTTGGAATTTTGGTTCAATGCTCTTCAACTTTGTACTTGTTTGGCTTTATAACTATTTTGATCTGAGCGTCACTGATGAGTCTTATGTAGACGAAACGCGCGTCTGGCGTATAAAATTATTATCCTGGTACATTTGATAACCATTTCTATGCCGTACGGAGAAGTTTTCCGCCTTTGTGTACAGGAGGAATACATTTGTGTGTCTGAAGGTGTCATAGCAGTGCAAATGCAAAGAAATTTAAAAATAGGCAAAGTCAAATAACTCTTTAAGAATCAAAATGACGATAAAATATGTTTGCAAATAATTCTACCAGTAAATAGTTATCAAAGGTAGCAGGCTTATAATTTGATACGCCAGACGCTCGTTTCGTCTATATAAGACTCATCAGTGACGCTCAGATTAAAATAGTTAGAAAGCCAAGCAAGTATAAAGTTAAAGAGCATTGAGGACCTAAAATTCCAAAAAGTTGTGCCAAATACGGCTAAGGTGATCTATGCCTGGGGTAAGAAAATCCTTAGTATTTCGAATAGTTCATACTTTTGCAAACAGTAAATTTATAAAAATAGACCATATAATTGATATTCATGTCAACACCGAAGTGCTGACTACTGGGCTGGTGATACCCTCGGGGACGAAACGTCCACCAGCAGTGGCATCGACCCAGTGGTGTAAATAGTTATCAAAGGTACCAGGCTTATAATTTGATACACCAAACGCGCGTTTCGTCTATATAAGACTCATCAGTGACGCTCAGATCAGAATAGTTAGAAAGCCAAGCAAGTATGAAGTTGAAGAGCATTGAGGACCTAAAATTCCAAAAAATTGTTCCAAATACGGCTAAGGTGATCTATGCCTGCGGTAAGAAAATCCTTAGTATTTCGAATAGTTCATACTTTTGCAAAAAGTAAAATTATAAAAATGACCATATAATTGATATTCATGTCAACACCGAAGTGGTGACTACTGGGCTGGTGATACCCTCGGGGACGAAACGTCCACCAGCAGTGGCATCGACCCAGTGGTGTTAATAGTTATCAAAGGCACCAGGCTTATAATTTGATACGCCAGACGCGCATTTCGTCTATATAAGACTCAGTAAAACAGCTTTCTATCAAATTGTCTCAGAGGAGTTGCGTCAAATATTCAAATTCTCATAACCCCCGAAAAAAAGGATCAAATCAAAATGCCGCTACAATATGATGAAATACACAGAGTGCTAACAGTCTAACTAACTAATTTTCAATAATCAAACCAACTTAGAAATTTCTGTTTTAATTTCTACTGCTTTATGAATACAATGTAGTATGTTGTATATTTGATCGCTTATACATTGTTATATCTGTTTGTTGTAGCACATATAAAGAAGTTATTATTATTTATACTTGTCTACGTAAACGAATTATTGTATTTCCTATTTGAAGGTCGTCAAGTTATATGATGTATTTCAGAAAACGAGATATAGATTTTATTAAAATACAGTCAAAACCTGTCTGAACGAACCCAATTGTAAAAGATAAAACCTAAATAACTGGAATTCTTGTTTTGGACTTGCAATAGGTTCTCTTTAGTTGTTGAATCTGTCTTAATTGAATACCTTCAAAATGTAAACAAAAATTTCTATTATCAAGATTGTTCGGTTTTGCTATGTTTCACAGTACAATATACGTATATATTGCGTTGTAAAGATTACACTTGGAAATTTTACCCTTGTTTATATTTCAACATCAGATAAAACTTTTAACCAATACGGACATTGCACACCAATAAGTTGATTTAGAAAACAAAACTTATCCCTGTGAAAAACTAAATGACTTTAAGATGAAACAGGGTTTCTTCGATAAAGTTATTTTATTTGTATTATTTAACAACATTGAAGGTAGGTACTTGTATTATTTATCAGCTATTTGTGTGTTAGATAAAAATATACGGATGAATTGATACGGGTAAATAATTGAATGAATAAACAGAATATGTGTTGATACACATATTTCCACTGAAATCTTTTGGTTACAGATTTTATACATCATTGGCTTTCATGACGAAGAAAAAAATTTCTAACCCTATTGCGGGTGTATTTTAGACACGGCAAAAATAAAGATCATCAATTTAAACCAATCAATTCAATGGACAAAAAATAATCCTGTTTTTGATTTTTTTTTTCTAACACAAAAACATTAGTACGTGTTTGGATACGACAGCTTCTGTAATTTTGTCATCTCTTTACGATGTATGATTTTGATTGCGGTGTGTCGATTTTGTTTTGCGTGATCTAATCATTGGGTGCACCTTTCAATATAATTCTAGCCGAAGTATGTGAAAAAACAACTTATACTAACATCGAATGCCTTGGTCCCTGTAATGTGGACGTCCCTGCCTGGCAAGCTATTAATTGGTGTGATGAATGTTGTCAAATGAATAGTACGTGGTATTGTGTCGATGATGTCGCATACCACAAATGTGAAGCTACTGCACAGTAAGTATTTATTCATAATAAGTAATATGACGAATGCCAATATGGAAGAGGATCTGCCCATCCTTCCGGAGCATCTCATATCAAATCGACGTGTTATACATGTAAAAGAGAGGGACGAAAGATACCAGAGGGACAGTCAAACTCATAGATCGAAAACAAACTGACAACGCCATGGCCAAAAATAAAAAGACAAACAGACAAATAAAAGTACAGATGAGACAACATAGAAAACTAAAGACTAAGCAACACGAACCCCACCAAAAACTGGGGGTGATCTCAGGTGCTCCGTAAGGGTAAGCAGATCCTGCTTTTTCAGTTTCTTTTAATTTTTTTTAAAATCAGTATTATTAATTTTATTAATATTTGGATGCCATTGTTGTTAAATGATAAAGATTTATTCTAGTTTTTAATTTATCCAAGTAATGGATTAAAATTTCACTACTAATCTTAATCTACCAAAACAAATATTTTCTACTTTTTTCATATAATATTTATTCAAACTTGCACCCTCCTAAAAGAACAAATCGAAGATTAAATAAAAATATATTTAATATAATTTACAGAAACAAAATATGTAAATACAAAAGAATAACAATAAAAAAAAAAGAAACGATGTGGACAATAGAATTTATTTCATTGTACTCAATAAAAAATATTGTAAGCGGTCGGTCAAAAATACATAAGGTGTCTTTGCTATGAATCAATCTAAAAATAGGATTGATTTAAGAAATAAGTTTGAAATTTGAATTGGTTGATTATATAACATGTATAAGTAATGTTTCGTTTAGTAATCATACAATACATGTGTAACAACTTTGTATCCGAATATTTTTTTATATAATGTGCAGCTAGCTTCATAATCATTTTTCATATTAAGTAAGATGGAATTTTGTGTTTCAAATCCCTACACGTAATTAACGTTACAAACATTAAATGATCAGTGGTTTTACATGGACATAAATTGGGGCTTATATTTATTTTTTCGTACAGAACAAATCCGACGGTACCATCTACAAAGCGTCCTACAGGAAGTGTGACTACAACAACTACACATCGCCCTACAAGAGGTGTTTCGTCAACTACTCAAAGATATTTTACCTATAAACCATTTACAGCTTATCCAAAGCACACAACATATGATTACATTGATCAATATTTTCCAAATACCAGTAAACCCTCTAAGTAAGTACATTTACATATGTATAAATCTCTCATAAGTTATCAAAATAGTAAAACATTTAATCAAATTTCATTTATTCATAAAACTCCTTTCGAAAACGTTCACTTCCTTTATGAGAATTTTAAATGGGTACCAATAAAAACCTATCAAATATAGTAGTCCGAGAAGAAGTAGGAAGAAACTCCTTTAGACATTTGATTTCTTCACAGTCCCGGTCTTACCTAGCAAGACTGAATTCTGAAAATATAAATCCCTTACCTAAAGGAGCATTTATATCAACATTTAACATATTCATATTATGTATACATATGCAAAGAATATATCATCAAACCCAGTCTTTTTGGATAAAGTTAATAAGTGTTGGGACTTAAATGAAGTAAAATCTTTGAATCCTTGATTGAAAATGAATTTAATGAAAATTATGTTATAGTTTCGGTAATAGAATAAATAGTTTCGATGAAAATATTAAACTCTTACTTTATAAAAAAATTAAAACTTAGCTAGGATAGGGATTGAATTTTAGCTTTCAATGAATGTTTTTTTCATCTTCTTAATTTTATTCAATTTAATTTAATGTGAAATTTGCAAAATAACGTCAAATCAATCTTGTGTTTGTTGGCCAAATAAAAGTAGCTAAAGCAATTCGAACAGATATTACGTTACAATTAAACCATGAAATTGCAATCCTTGAATAATCAATAATCGAGAAGAACGAGCAACTGCAGAAAGATAAACATATATCTCAGATTAATAGATATCAGTAATGTTAGAAGGTCAAAACATTTCTTCGAATTTTTCACAGATGACCTTGAACAAAAATAAGAATTTGTTAGGTTTCGGTGTAAGGTTAAATACAATTCCAAGCCATACTGAAAATGCAAATAACAATAGGTTTTTTATTTGATTTACAGACACGTTGTTGTCAGTATTTTTGCAGCCTTTGGAGCTGTGATTGTGCTAGTTGTTATCATAACTTTTATTGTTATGAAGCAGTCAAAAAGACGTGATCAACAAAGACGAGATGTCCTATTCAATGCAGCCAATGAGCAGATAAGTAGGAATTCCGGACAGCTCAGAGGAAATCCGGTATATATTGTAGGAGGTATGTTTTATGACAAAAGTCAATATGTCTTACCAATAATATGATAAAGCACATTTTTTTCCTGTTTAAATGGTTTTATATTAGTCATTTTTGGGGCCCTTTATAGCTTGCTGTTTTGTGTAAGCCAAAGCTCAGTGCTGAACATGTTGGAGGCGGTACTTTGACTTTAAATGGTTAATTGTTTTACAAATTTTGACATTGATGGATAGTTGCACTTATATCACATCTTCTTATATCTATCTTTAAATAAATCTACCAAAATGCATGTTTGACGCAATTCGTATTACAAAAATTATTCATTCACGGATGAGAATAACAATAATTTAACTAATGTTTTGAAAAAAATAACAATATACATGTATCTTCTGATCCTGATTCATTTATGTTCAAACTCTATAATGGTGCACACATATACATGTACAATTTGTTTCCTCTCTCTGTTAAAAAGCACTAGAAATACAACTGCTAAAAGGAGCTTTCTCCGTTTTTCTACTTTTTTTCTAACCAAAAATTATCTAAAGATTTCTGAAATAACCAGACTCACAGAAACAAAAGACTTTCCGTTTCATGACGAGGGTAAATATGATGGTTATGTCGATTGGTTTGTTTTAAGCCATGTTTTGAAATTCTTTTAAATTGCCTGCTTCTTACAAAAACTGGCATTTATAAATAAATAAAATAGGGAAAATTTTTGAAAATGCACTTGTCCGCTCAACACGCAGCTAAGGATAGTCTTGAACCTATATCATGTATAATGGGATGTAACTTTTCCTCGATTTTACAGTTCTCGCTCTCATATTAAGATGTTACATACCACTTCAGGGAGATAAATCTGTTTAAATCAGGTGAACGTTTTAATCATATTCTATAGTTAAGGAAAAACATAGCTTCTCATTGATCAATTTTAGGGTTTTTCAAACTCCTATATATCCAAAGATTTTTTTTCCAAAATGTGTGTGGTTCAAGGTTTTTTAAATTTTTAAATTTTTATCAAAGGGTTAACGTTAATGTTTTGTCAAACTTTTACTAAAATTAAACGAGCCATATTAATTCTAGTCAAGATGTTTGGTATCACCTTTAGGTGAAAATCAGACAAAAGGCGCTGTGGATTTGCCAAGTGCGCTGTATCACTTTGCGGTTGCATGCACCACATATAGCGTTTCAATTGATCAAACCTCAATGCACACTAAATTGGTAACTCGTCTTCTGTTACAACGATAACTGATAAATGTCCACATGCGATGATGATTTTCTTACTTTGGCATGTTACATGTGTATTTTCCACTATTTGATTGAATGATTTATTGTTGGTGTTTTAACGCCACTTTTTTATCGCCACTTTTCGGCTATTTCGTTGCACCAAGTTTTTAATGGTGAAGGAAGCCGGAGTGCCCGGAGAAAACCACTAACCTTCGATAGGAAAACTGACAATCCTAGTCAATTAAGATTTGAGTCAAGTGCACCCGCACGAGCGGGGTTCGAACTCACAACCTCATTGTTAACTGGCTAGTGATTACAGTAGTAGAACTACATAGACCAGTTGACCACCGAGACCCCTCCACTACTTGAAATTTATAATACAATGTAATGATCACATTGTGATTGTTTGCCTTAATTTCATTTGTAAATACTGATATGCATTATTTATTTCGGGTATTTGCGTTGGCCATTGTTGAAAGCTGTTCAGTGACCTATGTAATGAATATTTTTTATAAAGAATATATATACATCTTTAGAGCCAAAGATTTAGAAGAAAACAAAAGCGTAATTGTGTTATGACCAAATATCATATTGGATTTTTTTTTCAACATGTTCAAAACGTACAAATGTATTTTGTTTTAATATAGAGAGAGAAACAGAAACAGTCGTTAACTGGACACATAATAATTTGGATGACAGTTCAGCTAACAACGAAAATAATGCACAAGGTTTTATGCAAAATTCTCAACCACCACCCTATTCAGAATGTATTGCGTCTCACCAATCTAGTAAACAACTGTCTGCACCAACTGACTCTGCATATCACCCACCGAATTACTCAATAACTTCACCACCATTGTGATAGATTTCGGTAAGGTTAATATGAAATAATGGGAGAGGACACGGTATGCCAAAGAGAGAAAATAGGAAAATAGCATTTCAAGATGACAAAAACGATCATATAAAGGACATCATTGACAAACACTACATGAAATGCTATTGATAAAGCAAAATGAATCCCATTTTATACTACGACTAGTTGTGTTTATTTCCTAAATATAGTAACACAGCTATATTTTTGGAATGTCAATTTCATCATGGAAAAAATGTTCTACAATCTGAGGTTCATAAAGTGATGATAAAAAGTTTGAAATTAAATTCAATTTAAATGGCTATCAATGTATTAATTTAAGTTGCAATATAAAAACAATATTAGGTCAATGTCAGAAAAAAATATAAACTTTTTTTGTATTTGGTGAAACCTCGCCCTTCCCCAGTTTCTCAGCCTCTTACAAAAAAGTTTATATTTTCTGACATTGACCTAATATTGTTTATAAAACCCAGAATATACTCTAACACTAAGGAATGGTGATAGATACCGGAGTTCGTAAGATAATCATTCAATTCACTAAACTGAACTATGCGAGATCATTAAGCAGTATACCATACATTTTCTACAGGTCATATGAAAGATTTCTTTTTATCGTTACTTTTGCGGGAAGTCGTTCAACGATCAAATAAAGAATGATGTAATAAGCAACTTTTAAGGTTTTAAAATCTTAACCAATAAAGTATTATACATCTTCTCTTCTGGATAAATCCATCATTGATTACGAAAGTGTGATTGCAGTGTCATTGACGTAAACATAACAATTTCTGTAATCAATATTTAGGGGTGTGAAAAATATTTGTAAGATTGATATTAGTTCTTCTTTGTTAAAAGAGGATTCTAAAGTGCACTAAGGGCGCTTTTCGACCTGTACAAAAAAGTAGTAATAAAAGAACATTGAAAAGAGACAAAAGAGGCCAATTGAAGAAAAATAATGTAAATATTAGTAATATTATTGACCTAACGTGTTTGCCGTCTCTCCTTAAATGCAACTTCACGTATTTAAGAATAACAAATTTTTTTTTTCTTCAGAATTTGCAAGCTCGGATGACAACAAAAAGTTGAAGATATTACATACACATTAATTATAGACGCACAACGTGCATTATTTATCTAATATTGTTTCCCGTTCCTGTGGATGAATTTTCAACTCAACACCTTGTAATCAACAGTCAATTACCTTTATCGTATAATAACAATTTAAGTTATTGATTTTTTACTCATAATACCAATGTATAAATCAGAAAATGTAAATAGTTTTAACTGTTATGCATGGACATTAAATACTCATTTTGTTTTATATTTCGACTGACTTATGATAGTTGCTATAGAAAGTAGTGTCGAGATGTCAACCAAACCAAGTATACATGTGTCTTACCAAAATCATGAACCTCATCTGTGATTATATTATTAGTTCTCTGTATTCGATGAAATTCTTAGCAAATCATAGATTTTGAACGGTTTGGAGCTCGTATTTTCTACCTATAGTTGAGCATAATTTCATGGTTCTAAACTGTAGTTCGTCCTCTTGGGTGTCATTAAAGAATCATCTTTGGTGTTTTTTTGCCATTGTCATATATTCCAAGTCACCTTTTATTAATTTGAGCAAACAACTGTAATAAAGAAAACATACACACAGAAAGGTCAACATTGTTGCATTGACTAGTTTATCGACAAATATCCCCGATCCTTTCCATAAAAGCCATTAAATAATTGTTATCAATATTTCAAGCTTATTTTGAAATTCCCTGATTTCCTGTCAAATTGAATAGTTATCTTTTTTTATCTTCTAGATCAATACTCTTATCGATTATAAACACCCTCTTTCGTCATATTTGAATATGAATGTTTCTATTATACTTTTTCAAAAGCCCACTAGGTACAATACATATTCCCATTCTTTTTAAATTTTGCCTTATTGAAACAAGAACTACAAGTTCTTAAAGAGCATTCGAAAATTAGGTTTGTTTTGCTGGATTTTTCAATCTTCCTTAAAGTTTATACTTTTTATTATTATAAAAATCAACAGATGTGTTATGATTGTCAATGTGACAACTACCCAAAAGCTATACATGTAAACAACTTTAGGTAATATCAATATCAAGACAAATTGATAATTTATAGTAATCTAGAAAATTCGCCAATATCATAACATTTGAAACAGTTAAAAAAAGAACCCTAACGGCCTTTTCTGGCACTAAACAAATGATATTAAGGATGTTAGCTCCTCTTTCCAAAATGACAAGGTTCTCAAAAGACTATTATAGATTAATACAATAAGAATAAGGGAACCTAAAATAAGAATTTCTAGTTTTTGAAGTATAATCCATTGAAAATTTGGCAGGAAATAGTTTTCTCTAGATTTTGCATACATTTAACATTGACACCTTTTTCCTTTCAAAAACTATAAAACTATCAACAAAATAACAAGGATTTTATAAAATTTTCAAAAATGATATTTAAAAGTTTATACATAAAAAAGAATAGTAAGGGTCAGTGGACAAAATATTTATTAGTATACATAAAACTAAAGGAATCCGAATATCTCAAAAAAGCCAAAAGAAATGTGTCCAACATCCTTAACAGATATATACGGCTTGTAGTGTTCTTGGAGCCGGTGTCTTTCATCAATTTTCGGCTTCATTGGATGTCTGCGGAAGTGTTTTCAAATTTTTAACTATAATAATTTATAAACAATCAAATTGTGTCATGATCGTCCTATAAATAAGAGGAGACCAAATGCTCATTGCAAAATGCATTGTAGGGATTCGTGACCCCCTGAAAATAACTGAAGTGAAACTGTGAACTAAATTTCCGGATCCTTATTCTTCTTTTTTATATTTAAACATCACATCAGTCATATCATGCAATAACTGCCTACATTTATAGCATGCATATGGCCTCCAAAGATCTTAGTCCTTGAAGGACTCATGCATATGTTTAGCTAATAATATACGTTCTTGGTCCCTTGCTATGACCCAAAATAAGGTTAACTTTCATCTCGCGGAAAAGTGACTAAAGCCCTCAAATTCCTAGCTGAAACCCTGCTTATTTATAGACGATATTTCAGGAATAAATTATTAAATATTCATATATTTTTTCTTTAACTATGATTGTGCATGATTTTAAATGAAAATGTTATCTTGTTTATTCATTGCTTTCTAAATCATAAAACATTTTGTTAATTGATAAAAGTTCAAAGTAGAATATATCACTCAGAGGCATGAATTATGGCAGTTTCCTACGTCACCAGGATAAGAAACCAACGATAGTTGTCAATTTGTCACTTTGACAGAACTTAAGTTGATCTGAAGGAAACAAAAGTTTTAACATGTTCAACATTCCTGAGAATGATTCATTAGGTACCATACTAGTTATAAATTTCCCTGCATTCATTGAGTAAAAGTTTAAAATTTCTTGGACTTTTAAAAATTCATTGTCAACAAATAATATCACAAAAACGAACATTAATAATCCTGCGAACTTTACCAGTTCAGTTACACTATCAAGTACAGGTCTGCATAATTTAGCATATTAATATTCCCACCAACACGTTTCGATTGTTTACACGAAAAAGCCAAATACATTCGTTGTCTGTCTTTAAACCCATGGAACTTTGCAGCCTGTAATGCCCTAGATATCGTGTCAAATATATGTGTCGTATTCTCTGAACTATTTGAACGGGTATTGGTTAAAATGACATATAAGAATACACGATACAAAAAGTCCAATAGCATACAATATCTTTAAATCTTTCTTTTTAAAATGTTTGAACTAGATGGTAAGAGGTCAAAGAATTCTTGTTGACAATAGTTGCTAAACTAGTTATTTCGTGTGAAGTATAGAATTCAACTTGTTCTTTTCTGCTCTAACAAGGTTGGGAAAGGGAATGACGAATTTGAATTAACTGTATTTTATACAGATAATCATATGATCATACAAATAAAAAAATTGATATATAACAAAATGAAAAAACAAACTCCACAGGAAAATGCTTTATAAAATGGCAAAATTAAAAGCTCAAACACATCAAACGAAGAGAAAACAAATGTCATATTCCTGACTCATACATTCCTTATGTCGAAAATGGTGGATTAAAACTGGTTTTATAGCTAGCTAAACCTCTCATTTGTTTAACAGTCGCATAAAATTCTATCATATTGACAACAATGTGAGAGTAAATCAAACATTGTTTGGAAACATTTTTATTTTAATCTCTGTTGCTTTATGAAATATGATCCTTTCTACCTGTTTGTCGTTACATATATTAAGGTTTTTATCAGTTGTTATTATTGTTATCAATACTATGTCTACGTAAACGATTTATTGTATTTATTATGTGAAGGTCGTCAAGTAAATGAGGTATTTTGCAATACGAGATAAAGATTTGATAAAACTAGTCAAAACATTTCTGAACAAAATTAAACCCAATTGTAAGGACAAAGCCTGAATATTTGGAATTTTTGTTTTTGGACTTCATTGCTATTTATTAGTTGTTGAACCTGTCTTAATTGGATACCTTCAAAATGCAAACAAAATTTCCATTATCGAATGATTCGGGTTTGCTAGGTTTCACAGTATAATATACATATATATTGCGTTGTTATGATTACACTTCAACATTTAACCCTTATTCGCATTTCAAAATCAGATAAAACTGATAAAAACTACAAACAATATAATTCAACTCAATACACTAATTTAGAAATTATAACGAATATATACTTTAAACTTAACGTCTGGAAGATGAGACGGGTTTCTTCGATAAAGTAGTTTTATTTATATATCTAACAATATCTAAGGTAAGTGTATTTTTATCCTTGATCAGATATTTGTGTATTTTCTGTATTAATTAAACCTGAAACAATAAGTTGAAAAATGTAAATGTGTTAATACATAAATTAATAGATAAAATATGCTTTAATGCACATATAGCCACTGTACTACTAAGGTAAACAAATCATATAAACAATAAAGTGTACAAGGCTTGAAATTTCACAATTGGGCTCTCACTGGTTCAGATTTTGAAATGTTTAGATAATTTGCAGGGTCAATGTATTCGAAATTTTGAAATATGACTCGAAACAAAATCTCCCGGATTAGTATCATAAAAATGCTTAGTTTTTTTTTCAAATAACACATTTACAATATGTCGTCTATGAGAAAAGAAATATAGTCCTCAATGAACTTACAGTCCCCGAAAGTATCATTAGTTCAGTTTTAATTTGTTTCATTGTATCTAGAAGATAACTAATAATACTGGAAGCAGTTGCTCAATTATATTTTTTCTATATAATGTGCATCATTCATGATTGTTATTCATACTAAATAAGATGGAATAAGGTGTTTCAATTTTAAACATAAAATTTTAACGAACGTAATTTATGTAATACTGGTAAATTATTAAGCCAGGGATTTTACTACCACAAATTACTCAAAACCTTTACTAAATTTTTCCAAAAATATAAAGATTATGTTTTGAAGTTTGGTTGTACCTGTAGAAAACTTATTTCAAACGGAAATGTTGTTTACAGTGCCCAGAAATTTAGAATCGATCCTGGTAAACTTATCGATCCTTTAAATGAATTTATTCTAAAAGGTTACCAATTCAACACTGTAATTGTTTTTATTGGTTTTGATATTGATTTTGTTATCAGTAAAGTAAGAACAAACTTAATATTATTGTTATATACATATGCACATTCATGGATCTAAAATATGTCGTTCCCTGTATCTTGGCCTTGTACAAAGTCATGTTTTCTCTGACTGTTTATGACGTCTTTACACTTAATCCATTTGAAGTTGGATTTGTAATGATTGATAATTTAGTCTTAGATGCATGACTTTTTTATTAGTTGTTAGTGGCTTTGAACTAGTTGTCAGTAACTGCGAGTACTTTCAGATCAGTACTCAGTGTCTTTTTTGTACCCAGCCACGTCCACTCTGTTTTTGTTAGATGTATTTCTATTTGTATCGATCTGATGAGTTAAGCCTTTTTCAACTGATTTTTATAATTCGTTCTTATGTTGTACTGTTACACCACTGTCCCAGGTTAGGGTGAGGGTGAGGATCCTGCTAAAATGTTAAACCCCGATATATTCTGTATGGATGTGCCTATCCCAAGTCAGGAGCCTGTAATTCAGTGGTTGACGTTTGTTGATGTGTTACATATTTGTTTTTATTTCATTTTTTGTACATAAATTAGACCGTTAGTTTTCTCGTTTAAATT